TGATATGCCAGTGTTATGGCTTAAATCACATTCCAGAATCGAGAAATATAAAATAATAAATATATTCAATCAATTAGGTTTTAAACAGTTAGACAATCAAGTWATGACAATTTCATATTTTCCATAATTTTTGTTTACAATTTCAACATGATTATCAAAATGGTACCTGGTGAGATCAGGTTGCATCCTAGTATACTTTGTTATTTTTTCACTGGTAACATACAAATTATAATTTATAACATCTTATAGTTAGAGCAATAAGGAAATCACCACAATGTATAGAATATTTATTATGTTGAAGGTGATAGCTGTCGAACAAGTCGAAGATGAAATTGAAATACGGACAAAAGCCGAATTTGAAAAATTTGAAAAGAAGTTGGAAGAAAATGATGAAAAGGGACAAAAATAATCCAGTTAAATCTTAGATATTTATTAATAAACATTTTCATGAAGTTTTGTATAGAATATAGATGTAATATAACAAGACTACATTATCAAAACATCTACAGTGCAGAGTGGTTTCCATAGTATATTTTTTTACTAATCAATAAATGTTTTATTGGATAATTATATAGTTTTGGTAAAATGTTTTGTTTAAATAATTAAATAATAGTTAATAATAATTGTTGTAAAATAAAAGATTAAAATAAAACAATAAACTTAAGCACTATAGAAACGACGTGCTACTAATATACTAATGAGTGCAATAATTAAATATATAAGGTACATTCCAATATCTGAGCATAATGCATCTCTTAAAAAGTTTGGAGAAATATTATTTACTACTGGTTCTTCATTGATTGTTTCAAATTCCTGTTTTTGTTGGTCAGGCGGTTTGCAGACTTTTTCCGCTTCTTCTCCCTGGTGATAAATAGAGATAATATATTTTATAATTTATTTTATATTTTTATAAATATTGTTAATGGGTGTAAACCCTGTAACAAAAGATAGAAACATTGCAATTGATACAAATAAAATGTAAATTATTATAATACAAACACAATACAATTGATACATAACAAAAAATATATTTAAAAAATAAAAATTAAACCAAGATATATTGTGATTTACCTAATATGCAATAAACCTTTTTTGTTTTAAAAAAGTTAATTTTTATAATTACCTTAAATGTTACACTTTTTATGAGTTCAGTTTCTTCTTTTGTCAATGGTTTTGCTTTATTATTAGCTAATAAATTAGATATCTGACCACAACTGTCACAAATCCAACTCTGAGACCTAATTAAAACATATTTTCTGTATTGTAAAGAATTTTATATTAAAGTTTTCTTTTCTTATAAATAGCAATAATTTACTTTTTAGCCAAACTTAATCGTTCTTCAGGWGTATATTCAAGTGCTCCCAATGAACCTCGGCTATTAGTTGGCATAAATGCTATCAATGCTAATAGAGCTGTTCTAATTGACCATGATGGTTGCCAAGTTTCCGGATGATGACTAGAAATGCTTAAGCATATTTTTTTGTTAGTTTCCCATCGACCATTTGGCTACACAAATAATAATATAATGTAAAATTATGATTAAATTACACTAGTCACTACATACAGTTAATAATATTATATTTGGTGGCTTCATTGGATATTCAGTTGGTAATAATATACGACCATGATAAATACCACCATCAAAATCTGATGCCTGAGGACCGCGCATAGTAAAGTGCCATTCAAATAAATTATCTTCTAATGGATGAGCACTGTATTCATCTGTTGGCTCTGACAACTCTTTTGCTTCTCTCATTAAACGCTTCACAGCTGTAATAATAATAAAAAAAATATATCTTTAAGTATTAATAAATATTAACATGTGCATTTTTTACATCAACCACTACAACTGTATAATAGACATACTATATCAGGATATTTATTATTTATACAAAAAAAAAAAAAAACAGAATAATAAAGATGATCAAAATATAAATATTATATATTAACTTAAAAGAATGACCATGAGCATGAGGGAAATAACAATKTAATTGGTGTAGCTAAAGTGAAACGTTAAATGGTTAAAAATTAAAATCATCGCATTCAACAGCAAAATCAAATATATTTAGAGACTGTTTTCAGTTGTACTACCAATGTACTCACATAATTACCCCATGAAGAATATTTAAAAATTAAAATTAAAAATAATCAAAGGCATATTGACTCGGCTAAGCTAAAAACAATACATCATATTACTTGACGGAAGACAAGAGAAATATTTCATATCTACTTAATGGTTTATTTAATTCAGAACTCAGCTTACAATATTATATATGAAATTTAATGGAAATATAGGTACTCAATATTATAATTAATATTAGATTCTGAGTATGGAACAGTTTGTAAAACATGAATTAGGTATACTTCAATGTAATAAATTTTAATTTTAATTTTGAATTAGGCTTGGTGAAGTTAATTTTTGGAAATCACATTAAAATTTGAGGATGTTTTCACTCAACTTATAGAAAAGTTTAGGAACTTGTTTGTCTAAYAGTAATCTATAAGATAAATGTGTTTTGCAATGATTGATAGTTTAGCTTTTTTAGCATTAAATAAAGTACAACAGGGTATGTAGTATTTAACAAACATATCAAATGATGTAAATCATCTATTAACTTATTTTGAGAYTMATTATGTGAATGGCGCTTTGATATAAAATYAGTAAAAACTAGGTTTATAAAAGAAGTTAACTCAAAATTAAAATATACTTAATTACCTGGTCCTATATGAACGTATTGTCAAATACCAAATATTCACAATAACATTTATTAAAATATTTTTAATCGATTATCTTTTTACAATAAACAATTATATAAATAAAAATATTGTATTCATATTTTRTTCAATTAGATGGATAGTTTTTGGGGAATAATAGTTTTATAAAAACGAATTATGAGGGTTCAAACAATTGATATCGTAATTATTATTTGCTACATTAAATATGTGATTTACTTACCTGTACTTTTACTGTTGTATTGAGGTTCCATGGTCTTATAATCGAATAAGTATATTTTTCACTTTTAATTTATTATTTCACTTATATCTTGTTCAATGCAATTACAAAATAATATTTTATAACTTGCAAAATATTAGTTACGTGTATATTTTTCCAATATTATTATTTATTAGACATGACAAAATGATAATAGAATAACTTGTCATGGATATCTGTGTATATTTTAATTAACAATATTTATTGCCCTACTTATCACTAAGGTTTGATAAATACCATCATAATTCCATAGAACAATATTATTTATAGTGCTCTTTTTATATTTATATATATAACAATGATAAGAATTTATCACGGGACCCAACCACCCAACTACTACAACTTACTGTACCCATTCCTAAAAMAACAACAAATGACAAGTGCTATTACAAAAATTTAAATCATTATCAACAATATCAACTTTTAATCAAAATTTAAACATTTAAAAATAATTATTAGATGTAGAATACTAGAAAGTAGATTGTAAGTTATACATAATTTACTAAGTTTTTATGATTTTCTAAAAACAATACTTACTGACCACATTTTTTTTGAATAAAAAAAATATATATTAATCATTATTAGGTTTAATTGCTTTGATTTATTTTATTATTTATGAATTGCTTTATTATTATATTTAAGCCATGTGAATAATTATTAATTTGTATATTCCAAATGTATTTGTGGAAAGCAAAATGAGCAATAATGTGATTGATATACACATGATTAACAATAAAGGATTTATTTGGAATGTTAATGGTAAGAGTGTTTAATTTATATACTGAAAAATTTGGTATTCATAATTTAGTAGACTAATAGTAGTAAAATTCATYATTAGTTTTAATGAGTAAGTGAGGAGAGAGTTGAATTATTTTCTTATAATACATACTTATTTTACCAAAAATAGGTTGTATGTTATCCTAAATTCTGATTAATGTTAAATATTAGTAGMAATCGAMTACAGTTCCATTTAAATAAATTTAATGTTATAGCTGCTTTGTTTGATATTTTTAACAAAACTTCTTAACAATGAAATTGATTCTTTGAAATTTTTTTCTAAGTTTCCACTTACCAGCCGATGTGAATACATTTTCAATTCTGTGATTTTTTTTTCTAAAACTACTTATAATATTCCCTTTTTTATTAACAATTTTAAAATTAGCTCTCAAGTTAAAATGATTACTGTTACATTATATGAATCTATTATTGTTTCATCAGACTTTGGTTTTTAWAGTTATAAATGTATAATATAAAGTACGCATTTTAAGGTTTTTTCATGTGTGAGCGCAATAAATATATACATTTTAAGCTTTTTGAGTAAATTCAATTACTGACCCAAGTTATTAAATTTATTTATTTATTTTATAGATTGGTACATGTTACGGACAACTCATCGCATGTTGGGAAGTTTAATTGGAACTTTGCCATCCATGCCACGCCAAGAAGATCAAAATGGTCTTCCTTGCCTTTTATTACCTGAAGAAGTTCGATTACTAGTTGAAAATTGTATAGGCCGTACTGTTGAGTATCCATCATTTATTTCTTTAAATATTAAAGATACACCTAAAGTCAATCCATTTGAAACATCACCAAATGTTGTGATACATCTTGGTTAGATTTATTGTTTATATTTTAATTTTCTCTACTAATTAAAGTATCTTATTTTTTTATAGATGAAATATGTTCAAACGTAATTGAAGTACCATTACCTGCATTTATGAATGACTTAGAAAGGATTAGGTATAAAGTTTTTAAGGATCTKTGGTCAAAAGGATTTTATCTAACTTGTGGTTTGAAGTTTGGAGGTGATTTTTTGGTCTATGAAGGTTAGATAAATCAACTTAGATAATTTTTAATACATTTTGATTTAATTTTTTGTMATATCATTATAGGTGATCCTTTGGCTTATCATGCTAAGTATATAGTTAACTGTAGAGATTTGGACAAGCAAATAATGGTTTCACGGAGTAGAGTTAGTTCAATTACGAATAAAAAAATGGTGTTAGCAAAAGATGATGGAAACTCTATAAAGTATTTAATTTATCATTTAAATGATACATCTCAGAATAATGATAAAATTAATTACACTTTTTAATATATGTAAAAAAATGTCTTTCATGTTTAATAAAAAATAAATAATTTATGTATTCAAGACTATTAATAACAACCGTTACTTGTGGCTTCTATCCTATTACACTTACAACCTGTCCAGTGTTTAAGATCCTAAGTAATGTATGTGMAAAAAATTAGTACCTATTGGACAAAATCTKTTTATATTTATATGTGCCATTTGGATTTAGGCAACCAGACTAAACATATCTTTATTAAAGCCAACTAATAATATCCATGTATTCTTTGTATTTTGCTTCAGTTGAAATATTCTTAATTGCTTTTTGCTAAAATAGTAGATTATTTGATCATACAAACCTCAAATGTATAATTTAGGCCTTTCCCTCAATGCTCTAATATTTAATAGCTATTACTCAATTTTATTATTCTAGGTGTAACTGTATTATATGACAAATTATTATACAATAGAGAAAATTAAGTATAATATTCAATTATAACTATAGCAACCTAACCTTGCCTAATTTTATCTATTGTATATCTGGCAATTCAAAACAAATTAAATTATTATTTTTTTTTAACATAAACTTTTCAAAGGAGAGTAGAGGGGATCCTAAAGGCTATAATTATTCTTATATAAGGTGATTCACCATACACTTGGTAATTTACAATAAAAAGGGGGAGGGTTTTCATTTGAAAAAAGAACAGGACACTCCATAAGTAGTACATAAAACAGATTTCGTAAATCGCTCAGTATAATTAAATAAGCATATAAGTTAATGATTATTGTTATAGTAAAATAGAAATCAGTTACACATTTTTATTAAAAGTCATAAGAATAAAATCTAATGTCAATGAATAACTAAAAAAAACTCAGTTGTGAGATAAACGTACAATTTCGTCATATTAAAAATTTAAATGTCTATAAAAACTACACTTCCGATTTTTAGAATTTAGTTTATGATAAGCGTTTAAATAAACAAAGTATCAAGCTTTATCTATGGAAATGTACAACTTAAAAAGTTAAAAAAAATTTTCTCAATATGTCGAATTGCGTGAACATAATATGAAATTATGAACTTCATAAGCTTTTAGCCTATTAAACAATTCGCACCTATATATTCTTGACTTTTAAATTTTCACATTTTTTAAACGAGCATAAAAATTAAAACAAATTGTTATTTCACAATGCAAAACCACGGTATAGAACAACTTGATCATTCATACCATAGAACAGTTCATACCGTGGTGTAGAATCTTATATCCTTAGATCATATACAATATAATGTAATGTATATGATCTAAGATTATATCAATTGTTTATCAGATATCAGCTACAGAGTAAAGTTAACCACAGAATCTGATATATAAACATAAATATATGTTTATATATATCCTGTGGAGTTAACAGATAATATTGTTTATTATCTTTACCTAATTATCTATAGCCGTGCCTATATCTTAACSTCAGTTTGTTATCAGATTAAAACACATGCTGAATTTAATTTTTCAAATAAATAAATTTACTTGTTTTGTTTTTTTCATCAAGTTTTCTTGATTGATTTTGTCTTAATATGTTATATGAAATCTAATTATTAGTTACTCAATTACTTATATACGTAGGAATGTAATAGAATTGTATTGTTTCATTTTAATCATGTATAGGTTATTTATGTTTCGGTCTCAAATAAAAAATGGATTTCCTCAAATAGTTTTAATTGAAAAGCCTCATTTACTGAAAATAGCAAATTTTTCTAATATTCCAGGTGAGATTTATTTAATTTTTTTGAATAGGTTACTAAAACTGTATTAATGCTTTCATTTTTTATTATACAGAAAGTATTCAAACTAAAACTTTGATAAAGACTAAACAATTCAAAAGAAACGCTAAACGATTTTCAGAAGTAGTACAAGGTTAGTGTTTATTATAATTTATTTAGTATATCTTCAAGTTAGCTTAAGATAAATAAAAATTAATTTTATTGCTTTATATAGTCAACACATTTTTGTATGCACACACAAAATTTATTTTAGCCTAGTTTTTAGTTCTTAGTTACTTTTATGAGATTCCAAGGTTCATTATAATCATTTTTTTTTCAATTTAAATATTGTAGTTACTTTAATTTACTTACGGTTAAATTTTATTTTCATAAGAGCAGAATGCTTATAGTTATTAACAAATACATTTCACTATTCCTGAATATGTTTATTATCAACATAATAAAAGCAGCTATTTATAAATTTCAACTGTTATTTACTTGCTATTCAATTTAAGATTGAATACTATAATAATTTATTTGAAATGTTTTAATAGTGTATATAATTTTTTTTTTAAGTTACCAGTAGTGTTGCCAGTCAATCTAAAGTTAAAGTAAAACATTTAAAACCTAACCAAGTGCAAAAAATGGTTGCCTGTAAAAAACCATTGGCTATGTTTCCTAAAACAGCAAAAACAAATGATTGTTCTGATAAACTTTCCATAAAAACTATATCTAATATTAAAAATAATAGCCTTAAAGAAGAGCTGTTAGATGATATAGATGAAATGAATGAAGATCAAATGAATTTKCTTAAAGATACTGAATTTTTACAAACAATAACAATGACAGAGAATGACATCGGAAATAAAATTGATTCTGACCATTTTGAAGGATTACAAGACATTTACAATAGTATTGAACTACCAAAAAGCCAAGATAAATTGTAAGAAACCTTCATAATTATTTTTTCATCATATATTTTAAATAAGTTTAAATAAAAATTTAAATAAATAATTTTTATGTTTTAAAGATCAAAAAGAGAACGTAATCGAAATATTGCTGTTAAGAATAAACTTGAGCTAAAAGAAGCTATTAAGCAACTCAATATTAAAGGCCGGGAAAAAAGTCTCAATCAAACACTTCTTGCATATATAGATTTATGCGTAAATTTACATAATAAAATAAAATAAAATATAATATATATATACATATTATATTATAAGTATCTTGGTTTCTAAATTTCTTAATTGTTTTAGGTATGTTGTGGATTTCTTAATAGAGGGTTGGCAGCCTTAAATCATTATTGTTACAAAAGTGTTTCAAATAAGGTGTCTCTAAAAATAACTGATATTCGTATTTTTACTTGTTTAATGCATGGTTTTTCAAGCAAGGTAAATATATGGTTTATAATTATAAATATACATTAACATATATACATAATGATGTAATATATTTAATGTTAGTTCTTACATTTGGTTAATTTCTAYATACATTTAATAAATAATATCCGATATCATGGTCTGATAAATATTTTTTAATCTGCATTTAATTAAGATCAGGTATTGATAATAACTCTCATTCAAGTAATGTAATTATTATAATGAGTAATCTATGAATTCATAATTAATGGGAGTATTCTTTTTTAAACCTCAGTATATTAAGATTTTTAAATATTATGTGTATAAATGAACAAGAAATTAATTTTTAGAAATGAAAATATAACTTCTTGATAGTACAAATTTTCCAATATTATTGAGTCGTTCCAATTCTAATATATTGTTAACATAAATAAAATAGGTTTAATAATAATGTATAACTTATACTCATAATATATAACTGTTTTAATCAAAAATCTATTTCTAAATAATATTTTCAGGGAAACTATGAAAAATTGAAGGAAATTTGGTCATTATTAGAACTATCACAAATAAAACCAAATATTCAAGCATATGCAGCTGCATTTGAATGTTTGGTTATTAAAAAAGAATTATCCTCATCAGATTTATTACAAGAATTATCTAAAAAATTTTTGTCTGATGTAAGGAATCTCTAATATGTATAATAAACAACATATTTTCTGAATACATTATCTTTTGTTTTAGGGGTTTACGTTTAATAATTTATTTGAAGATTGTTCATATATTGGAAGTCAACGAGAACACGTCTTAAAAGCTGTAAAATTACTAGATCCTTCATTTGAACCACATATCAGTATTGAAAATATTTACTATTCTTGCCCTCTTTTAGATCATTTAAATTCACAAAAAGTAATAATATAACTTAACTAAACTTTAGTTTGAAGTCATATTTATATAATATGTATCATTTAATGTTTAGTCAAAGTTTAAATGTCCTGCTGAAGGTCTCCTAAACGAAAAGAATATTCTTGAATGTGCTCAGAAACAACTTGAATCAGAAATGTCTACTATTGTAAAAGTACAATCGGTTGACAATTGTTYCACGCCATCTCAAAAAGTATTAAATTATGTAAGTATTTAAATACACTATCCATAATAGTATTTTCTGCTTAAAATCAAACATTCAAAGATGCGATCATTATCATATCAAAATGTAATAATTTGATTAATACTAACTAAATATTAAAGGAACCTAAAAAATTTAGTTAGGTATTTATTTTTGGATTCTTTTTCTAACTTGTATATTTAATGTTTTTAAATCATAGCTCAAATATACTAGGTTATTGCAATATTACTCTCCCTTTCATGTTATGAAATTAAAATGCACAGAGGTTAAAGTGGGGAAAAATTCCAGAGGGGACTGATGTCTCCATAAAGTTTTAAGCGTTCCATATATAATTTTAGGTATAATGTCTARTGTATAAAATCCTAATTTGTTAAAGGGGACGCTTTTTAACCGCCGTCAGAGGTAAGGGGACTGAGTCCTCCTGCGTCCCCCTCCACTTTAACCCCCGAAAATGCATCATTATTATTTAAACCCTGGACAGTATTGTTTTACTGCCATTTAATTTTGTTAGTGTTTGAGATCCTAGCAAATTCAATAGAATTCTATATTTTGTACTTCAATATATGTACAACATTTTTTAGAGTTGCAGTGCTCTGTACTAAACAAATTGTATTTTTCAAACGTGGTATATTACTACACAAACAGATAATTGCGATATTTTATTGTTAAAACCATTTTTTTTACTTTTCATATTTACCAATTACCATATAATCTACAATTTTATGTTCATAATTTGAAAATATGTTCTCCGCGGATTATTTTTCCCTCAAAATGCCTGGGCTTATATTAAAAACCAAATATAATGGTGTAGTTTTAAAATCAAATATTTGTTTTCGTGATTTTATTGTGTACATCAAGGATACCCAATTTGTTTTAAATCTATCAATCCACTTTTAAGATTTTAATTAAATTAAATTTTTGTAAAAATGTTGGTTGTTGTCATTTTGTCACCAACTTGCACCTGTTTCATAAATGAATAACTTTGTATTGAATATATAATAATTGTAATAAAATATGTTTGTAGAGAAAGAAATTAGAAGATTTACAAGAAAAATGGAAAGAAACTATAAGGAACGCTATTACACGTGAATTGGAAAGCATTCGTGCTCAACATAATTGTTTAAAATCTTATCGAAATGTAAATATATATCCTTATTTAAGAGTTTTAAACACAGAACAATATGTTGATATAATTATACAAGAAGTACGTAAACTAGCTGAAGGGTCCGAAACATTTAGTCCAACAGTAAATTTACTATATCGAAATTTGGCTAATCAAGTTAGATTAAGGTATTATATTATTGAAAAGTTTAATAAAGTAAAATATTTAACTTTAATCATGTTATATTCACTTATTAGGTACCAAATTAAGTACAAAAAGAATACAAAAATTTTAGAAAAGATCAAAGCAGTTTATAGCGATTATTGTTCATGGTATATAAATAGTGAAAAATGTGATAGTCAAAATACGAGACAACAATGGCAACAATTAGTTCACAAATACAAAGCAATAGGAGCAGATATTGTAAGTTTTAATTATTTTAGATTTTTGTATATTTTTTTTATTATTTAGCTTTTACTATTACTGTTGGTTTTAGGAACAAGATGACAAACAATGGCCTTCTACGGTATTAAACAGCGTTGGGAAATTTTTGTACAATATTATTATTAAAGATGTAAAAATTGATGTTAATATCATGAAAGACAATATAGAAGAGGAGTAAATTATTGTTTATTATTAAAATTTGTATCTTTAATTACCTTAAATAAATAACTTTATTTAATTTTCAGGCATTTATTACCAGCATTTTATACAGTTTTTCGTGGACAATGTCAGCATGTGAAACAAGAAATTAAACCACATCCTGTACTGTCAAAACTTTATCATTTATCTGAACCTAGTGACTTAATATTTGATGTAACAATGATTCCTATGTTGAGTCCACCAGTTCCTTGGACTTCAATCAATTGTGGAGGATATATTGCTGCTAAAGCAGATCTAATTAGGTAAACTAATTTATTAAGAGGACGCTACATCCGCATGTGTTGTCTCCGTCTTACAAGTGCGTAACATTGCAAAAACTGTTTMGCACGGGAAAGAACCGAGAAGGCTACAGTTATAACTAAGAAACAAAATTTTCACCACATAATAAGGAGAACATTTACTGTGCAACGTTGTTTTCAATTTTTTCGATATCACAAATAGAAAAAAAGTTCTTATATTGTTTCAAAATTCATTAATTTTGCGTTTTTCAAAATCGAATAACTTTTATTTCAGTTCTAATATCAAAAAAATAAAAACAACGTTGCATAGTCTAAATTCCCTTTTATCTGTGGTGAGAATTTCGTTTCTTAGTTATGAYTGTAGCCTTCTCGGTTCTTTCCCSCGCRWAACAGTTTTTGCAATGTTACGTACTTGTAAGACGGAGACAACACATGCGGTTGTAGCGTCCTCTTAAATTGAGAAATATTATTCTGACTTATCTTTTGGTAAATTAATTATCAATGTACATAAATATAATTTATAATTTTATGGCCTATGAAAGAGGATAAAAATAAAAATATGTCATATTTATTTTCATTTATAATATATTATATGTAAATTAAGGAACTAAACCAGGTTGGTTTATAATTTTAAAAAGTTTTTGTTTCTTTTTAAACAACTTATTACGGTTCTAATATTATTAATTAAATTTTACTTGTAACTTATACATGTTGCTTTATAATATAAAATAAATAAATGTAACTAGTAAAGTAGTGGTCATGGTTACGGAACACGGAAATTGAACTTTGACCATTATGTGCTGAGCGACAGTTTTTAGATAGTGGTTATCAAATCACTGGGAATACTATTTTATTTGTGTAATGGCTGGCATGATGGTACAATATTGAGAAGCAATTTTTACATTGGTAGGTTTGAACCAGGGATGTCCAACCTGCAGCCCGTGCTAGATTTTGATGCGGCCCTCATTTAAATTTAAAAACCATTAATTAATTTATATAAGTATAATATATAAATATAAGTAGAAAAAATGTATATATATAAATATTTCTGCTTATTATTCGCTACTGTAAAATTGTAGTGTTCTATTATAGAATATAATTTAATCATTAAATTATTAGAAAAAAGTACGTGACCCACAACAACTGCTACCCATATGATGTGGCACCATCTTCACAAAAGGTTGGACACTCCTGGTTTGAACAATAGGCTACAGGGGACAATGTTTTTTTTGTGCTTATGGATGTAGACACAAATCAAGGAACTTTATAATTTATAATTATAATTTTTTTTGTCTTATTGTGTAATTAGTAGAAATTTAAATAATCATTTAGGTTACCTCAACAAGCTATTTTACAATGGCATAGACTTGAGCAAACACCAAAACAAGAACTTTATCCAGTCTTAGATGCACTGAATCAGTTGGCTTCTATACCCTGGACTATTAATAAACCAGTAATATATTTATAAATAGTCAACAGACAATTATTATGATGTAAGAATTTAATAATAATTTTTTTAGGTTTTGGATGTAGTTCTCCAAGTATTTCGTTCAGGTGGTTCTTCAAAATTAGATATTCCAAAGCCTATATCTGCTTTTCCATCTCCACAACCGATATTACAGAGTATGAGTAAAGACGAGCGTTCTAGGTTGTATAAAGAACGGGCCATATTAAAAAGACAGAAAGCTGAAATGTTTAGTTTATGGTGTGATGCTTTATATCGGCTGTCATTAGCAAATCACGTAAATATTTGAATTTTTTTTTTWAAATTTATTTAACAATAATTTAGAAAACAATTTCAGTTTTGTGGTAAAACATTTTGGTTGCCTCATAACATGGATTTTCGAGGTCGAGTATATCCATGTCCTCCTCACTTAAATCATCTTGGCTCAGATATGGCCAGATCACTGTTGTGTTTTGCTAAAGGAGAACCGCTTGGTTCTAATGGTCTAAACTGGTTGAAAGTGAGTTTCTAATATTCATAAATGTACAGTGTTTGGAAGGACAAATTCCTTTTTATTAAAAGAACAAGGATAAAAAAAAATGCAAAACGAATTATATAGTCTGTTATTTTTGAGTTTCGATTCACATTGATATGCAAATAATTGAAATTAAAGTTATATTTATCCTATGATGTGTATTTACTATTGTATTTAATAATGGTTATTAAGTTTCAACATTAATCGTTAAAACTTATAGTCGCTATAACATTTTTTATATTTTATAGAAATTGTTGTCATTACATAACAGAAA